GGGGGGGGGGGGGGGGGGATTTATACACCTGAGGTCATTGACCGTCTCCGAATAAACAGTATTAATTGGCCGGAGGATGAGCATCGCCTCGGGCGGACTTTCAACGTATGCCGATTTTGTCTTCTCATTTTTATTTTTTATTTTTTCGCCGATGGGGTCTCAGACCACTGTCTCGGTCAGTGGCGCAGTCTTCACTCCTCCAGCATCATGTCACAGCTCCCCAGTCACTCTCTCCAGTTGATGTCCAGTTTTTCTGCCCCAAAAATTCAAGAATGACAAACAGGATCGTTGCACAAACAGGAGTTTTATGGCCTCTTTATTCTTGAGTTCTCGTCATCGGACGCGTCTGACTAGTCAAAGGTAGCTGGAAATGCGATGGACGAGTGTTGACGCTGCTCTTTGCACTCCAATCTACATGACACGTGGAATGTCGCGGAGTATTTCCTCGTGGAAATTAAATCTGTCATTTTGTGATTTTTTTTATTCATTCATTTTTTTTATGTCTTCATTATTTCGGGTTCCTTGTTTTCCTGGTTCACGCAATGGTTCAACTTAACAATGAGCGGACGAAATGAGGATGAGTGGAGGCAGGCGTCAAGTGTTTATTCAGGCATAAAACACCAATTCCGACGTGTTTTATTCGATCATGAATATTTATTCTTGTCATTAATTTTTGTAGCGGTATTGACGCTCTTTGCATTGTTATTTTATTTAAATTGAAACCTGGTAAACTCGGGGGAGAATTTTATTGGACTTTTATTGAAAATTCTGGAAAATTAATAGAAATTGGTACAAATTAGTTCGAAAATTTAGGAGCATTTTCAATGGATTAAGAAAACGAAATATTTTTTCCCTTGTGGAGTATAACTCTTCCACTGTGTCCTGAACTCAATTGACAAATTTATTTCCAAGTTATGAACATTAAAAAAGTTAAAAGTGTCAATTTTGCCTCCCTCTCGCCTATAGAAAAATCGAATTCTAGTGATTCTTTCTATAGACTACAGTGAGATAAAAACGACAAAGTTCTCAAATAAGTCTTACTTAATTGTGCCGAGAAAATAGTTTTTTGAAAATGACCAAAAAATGATTTTTTTTGTGCCAAACATGCAGAGAGTGCGCCGGAGTGAAAAATTTTTGTCGCAAAAATAGATTTAGTAGTTCAAAAAAAAAATGCATTCTCTTCACACGCAAAGAATGTCATTCCTAGCACTACTCCTTCGTTATTCGATACTCCCATACGTATTTTGCTCCCGAAAAATCTTTGTTTTATGCGAAGCAAGGCATAATAGTTTTTCGTTTCGGCTGTCTAATAATCACAGACAAGAAATGAACCCTTAAATGAAAAAATAATAATGATATGATAGCAATCTTGTAACTTAGGGATAAAATATTAGTTGATAAATTTTCCTCTATATGAGATATTTTCATCTTGAAAAGGCACCGTCTGGTGTGAATTGTCCGCCTCTTGAGCCAAATATTTCGTTGCTGTCGAAAGCAGAACAATTATTCATGTTTGAGACTTCTGAATTAGAACCAAACAAATTCTTTTTTGGCAATTTTCAACTAGCGATTTTGTTGGCTCAAACAGGACTTGCTTGACAATGTGTTTGTTTTTCTCTCAGTGGAGTGTCTATCGGACATTTTTATTGGAAAAACTCGCAGTACAATTGCGAAATTCGTCAATAGAAGTTCAACAGAAATCCAATAAAATTTTCCACCGAATTCGCTGCGTTTTTTAATGAAAATTTTTGGTGCGTGCAGTGGTGAACCGAAAAAATTATCCAATGAAATGTCAGTAAAACGAGTGAAGGAAGGCATGAAGTGTTTATTCAAGTATAAAACACCAATTCCAAAGTCGAGAGCTGCTCTCCACAAACTTTTTTCTCACTCCGGAAAAGGACTGTTTGATTTTCTCCTCACGATACTACGAATGCCAAGAATTAAGAGACGAAAAATACGCAAACACGGAATAAAAGAAAATGAAATATTTGCCAAGTCCAAACGTTTCATTTACACTCGGGACTTATGCAACTGTTCCTAGAATGAGCCATACTTATCGGCTTCACTGACTTTCTCAGGTTTTGCGTACAGAACAGAGTTCATGTAGTCCTTCTCATTCAGTGACGCAAGAGTTCGGTACACGCAAAAATTAGTGGACAATTTATATTTACTAGGGAAGAGGCGCGCGTGAAATGTAGGAATCGTCATCATCACAGACGAACAATATTCACTCATTACTCATATTGTTGTTAAGAGTGATTAATTTTTGGAAATAATGAAAGTTTTAATAAGATGTAGAGAAGGAATTAAAAGCTCATATAATATTGTTTTTAAATTTCAGTAGCGAAATGGTAAAACGGTTTAAATCGATTTTGACTATTTCCCAGTTTTCAATAAATATCTCAGAATCTAAGGGAGATAGCAAAATTTTTGATAAAACCTTTTCTATAGCACTCAATTCGCTCTACAAAAAAGATCATTACAAAAATTTCGCTAGCTGCCTTAGATTCGGAGATATTCCTAAAAAACTCAGATGAGAGCTAAGTCGACTTAAACCGTTTTACCACTTCGCTGCTGATTTTATTACAGTTCAATCGATTTAGTATTGAATTCCACTCCATTCGATCTTGTTTGATTTTCATCCGTTCCAGGGAATGAACATGGAGAAATATTGTCATTTAAATTATTTATTGAAAGTGAAGATGAGTAAAATGAAAATATTTTTTTCTAAAAATAAATATGTAAAAATGTTCTCATACTTATATATTAATTTTTTTTATATTAATAAAATGTATATATACACATATATATAATAATTTATTCATGGATATATTTTAATTTTTTTATATTCTAATTTTTTCGAAAATATTAATAAGAATAAATGAATAAAAAATATTAGAAATATCTTGAGTCAAAGATGACGGA